AAGCTGGTTGATGATTTTCTGAAATAACCAAACACAAGTTTAGACTCATCAGTCTGTAAAACCTAACTTCCAAAAAAACGCCGGTACTGATCACTACTGCCCAGCACTTCAGTCCTCATTGATTATACATGAGCAGCCAGCTGTTTGGAGACTGATGCCCTAAACTGACCTGTGTTTCTTCGTTCTCTGTGTCTGGTGTCCAGCAGTGGTGAGACCGCCTTTAAGAACATGACGATCCCGTACGGCTGGGCTCAGCGGCCCATGATGCAGCGCATGGAGATGATCGACCCCTCAATCCACATCTCTGTCATCTGCGGGTCCCGCTCCTGCATCGACGGCCAATCAGGACGAGCCATTCAGGAGATGAGGCCCAACTCGCAGACTGACCATATAGTGAGTGGTTTGATATGATTGGCTCACTGCTTACAAGGTCTGATATGATTGGCTTACATCTTATGAGGTCTGATATGATTGGCTGAGCTGGGGGTTCCACTTTTCAGGTTACATTAGTAAATCTCTGGTAGCTCAGCAGAGGAAGCGCTGCATAAGAGCAGCAACAGCGCCTCCCCCAGTTCGCACCCTGCGATCACAGTTAATTGTGAGGTTGGAGACGCGATGGCATAGTTGAATAATCAATAATAAACAAGAATAAACTGTAGATGATTTACTGGCCCAGTGGAGCTCATGCTCATTTAGTGCTTCTTCTCAGGTCATCACAGGGGCCGGACACTATGTGTTTGCAGACCAGTCAGAGGACTTCAACCAGGCCGTGCTGAAGATATGCAGCAACGTCAGGGATGGAGAGAAAGCAGAGGAGGACAGGAAAGAGAAGAGTGTGGGGAAAGAGTGAATGTGGGAGGGTGACGGGGAGCCGCCGCAGAGCTGAGAGAGCAGATAAAGCAGCATTATCAGACTGTCTGATATTAGACTGATCTGTGATTCATACAGCACTGCTCAAAAATTTGAAATCCATGTTTTCAGCAATATAAATCAATCCTGTTGCAGACACAGTGGGTTCTGAGAGCAGCAGTGCAAATATTTCTGTTTGTATCCTTTTATAATTTCATACTTAGTTAAGTTTTTCTCTACAAATTATTATATCGGCGTAGTGGTTTGAACAGTAGAATATTAACAATTTTAACATGAATTACAGAATTTCTTAGTATTTGGTGATGTCTCCCTCTTTTGATTGCACTCAAGCTGCATGAACTCTGCAGGTTTGTGTAAAAGTCTCAGGTCAGCAGATCAAATCCTCCTGAAAGCGGCTTGAACACGAGGTTCAGTGGGATGAGGCTCTGACCTTTGAGTACGAAGACTTTAAAGGTGCAGTGTGTGAGATTTAGGGGATCTATTATCTATTATTATCTGTTAAACAAAACCATGTTCTCATTAGTATTTAATCAGCTGTAACTCTGAATCGTTGTGCTCTCGTTATCTTAGAATGAGCCTTTATATCTACATAGCGAGCAGCTCCTCTTCAACAGAGGCCGCCATATTGCACCGCCAGAAAACCTGACAGCCACCGTAGGTTCTACTACAGTCAGAAAGGGAGGGGTGAGGGAGGGGGAGTCTCTAAATCTTACACACTGCACCTTTAATCTGGTCACAGATGTACTTAAATTTGAACAGTGGTCTAGAAACAGCGCAGCATCGTCAGTGGTTCCTCTTCTAATGATAGAAATGAATCTCAGGTGAATTTAATCTACTCACATCAACTAATCAGCTCGAGTGCACACTGTCATTGAAAGAGGGACACACCACCAAATACCAAGAAATTCTGAAATTCATGCAAATTTTCACACACATTGTTATGCTGATATCATCTGTAATGAGAAATATGTTAAATTAGAAATGAACACAAAATAGAAGCATTTTCTCCAGACTGTATGTATATAAAATGATTCCAGTGTGATGGTAATACTACGCAACTTTATAAATTGCTGTATTGAGAGAAACGATAATAGACATTAATATCCAGAGAGCCTCATATGCACAAAGCAGTGATAATCTCAGAGTGGACACCTTCAGAAGAAATCACAATATACACACAAGTATAGTGTAATATTAAATAATTACATAAAATAAAATATCTGAATAAACATCTAAACATTTCATATTATTTAACTCTGCAATGCCGCTGTTATTATTGAATAAAGAAGTTATTAATATGAGCAGTGATGTGTTTGAGGCTGGTGTGTATCGGTGCTATCAGGGCTGTAGTGTGTAGGGTTGAATCTGTATGTGAGCTGTGATGTTTTAGGAAATGAAGAAATGGTGGAGAGATGCTGAAATGGGGTGAGAGGAGAGGAGGAAGTTCAATCTGCTCACTGTTCAAACTGAGGATTTCTGTGGGAACCGTTTTACCAGCAGGAACAAACCTACCATCGTTTTATTATTTTAGCTCCAACTGCAGCTGGATTTCTGTTATACAGCATGTATTCATTACATGCCGTATCTCAAACAAACCGACAACAGCGACTTTGCTCATCAGAACAAATCCACTCCTCTGATTTGTGTAAATACAAAACACTTTAATGAAGGTGCTCAGTTTGAAGAACGTCTGTCTACATTTGAGTGTTTTGTTTTCCAAAAGCTGATATTAATCTGTAGATTATTCATTGATTTCAGTCTTTAAGTCTTTGTTTACTGAATATTTTACCGTAACTTCATCATCAGATCTGCTGCATGGTTCTGTGTGTTTATATGAATCTGCTGCTCATCTGATCTCACGTCACTTTAGACAGCAGCTGAGATTTTATTGTATTAATTTACCTCCTCAAGCAGAAGAAAACTCTGGTTTTCACAAACTGTTCAGTATTGTGCTTTTTTAAATCAAACATGCCAGTTGTTCATAGTGCAGTGTCTTGCTCTGGTCATCTTCCTGCAGTTACTGAGAGTAAACAGTTAAAACAGTGAGATTTTCTAAGCGCATTGTTGACCTTTACAAATGTTTATTGTATTATACCAGTAAAAGGCTCTCACTGTGCAAACGTTCGTTTTAGAACGGTGAAAATTAGCCTAGTGAGTTTACAATTCAGCTAATTAGTGAGGTAATACCAGAAACTGCACTGTGAGCTACTGAGCTAACTTTGCTAATTCTGGTAGCTAGTATAGTATAGTGTAATATAGCATAGTGTAGTGTAGTATAGTATAGTGTGGTATAGTTTAGGGTGTAGTATATAGTGTAGTGTGGTATAGTATAGTGTGGTATAGTTTAGGGTGTAGTATATAGTGCAGTGTAGTATAGTGTAGTGTGGTATAGTTTAGTGTGTAGTATATAGTGTAGTGTAGTATAGTGTAGTGTGGTATAGTTTAGGGTGTAGTATATAGTGTAGTGTAGTATAGTGTAGTGTGGTATAGTTTAGGGTGTAGTATATAGTGCAGTGTAGTATAGTGTAGTGTGGTATAGTTTAGGGTGTAGTATATAGTGCAGTGTAGTATAGTGTAGTGTGGTATAGTTTAGGGTGTAGTATATAGTGTAGTGTAGTATAGTGTAGTGTGGTATAGTTTAGGGTGTAGTATATAGTGCAGTGTAGTATAGTGTAGTGTGGTATAGTTTAGGGTGTAGTATATAGTGTAGTATAGTGTAGTGTGGTATAGTTTAGTGCGTAGTATATAGTGTAGTATAGCGTAGTGTGGTATAGTTTAGTGCGTAGTATATAGTGTAGTATAGTGTAGTGTGGTATAGTTTAGTGTGTAGTATATAGTGCAGTGCAGTATAGTATAGTGTGGTATAGTTTAGGGTGTAGTATATAGTGTAGTATAGTGTAGTGTGGCATAGTTTAGTGCGTAGTATATAGTGTAGTATAGTGTAGTGTGGTATAGTTTAGGGTGTAGTATATAGTGTAGTGTAGTATAGTATAGTGTGGTATAGTTTAGTGTGTAGTATATAGTGTAGTGTAGTATAGTGTAGTGTGGTATAGTTTAGTGTGTAGTATATAGTGTAGTGTAGTACAGTATAGTGTGGTATAGTTTAGTGCGTAGTATATAGTGTAGTGTGGTATAGTTTAGTGTGTAGTATATAGTGTAGTATAGTGTAGTGTGGTATAGTTTAGGGTGTAGTATATAGTGTAGTGTAGTATAGTGTAGTGTGGTATAGTTTAGGGTGTAGTATATAGTGCAGTGTAGTATAGTGTAGTGTGGTATAGTTTAGGGTGTAGTATATAGTGTAGTATAGTGTAGTGTGGTATAGTTTAGTGCGTAGTATATAGTGTAGTATAGCGTAGTGTGGTATAGTTTAGTGCGTAGTATATAGTGTAGTATAGTGTAGTGTGGTATAGTTTAGTGTGTAGTATATAGTGCAGTGCAGTATAGTATAGTGTGGTATAGTTTAGGGTGTAGTATATAGTGTAGTATAGTGTAGTGTGGCATAGTTTAGTGCGTAGTATATAGTGTAGTATAGTGTAGTGTGGTATAGTTTAGGGTGTAGTATATAGTGTAGTGTAGTATAGTATAGTGTGGTATAGTTTAGTGTGTAGTATATAGTGTAGTGTAGTATAGTGTAGTGTGGTATAGTTTAGTGTGTAGTATATAGTGTAGTGTAGTACAGTATAGTGTGGTATAGTTTAGTGCGTAGTATATAGTGTAGTGTGGTATAGTTTAGTGTGTAGTATATAGTGTAGTGTAGTATAGTATAGTGTGGTATAGTTTAGTGTGTAGTATATAGTGTAGTATAGTGTAGTGTGGTATTGTTTAGTGTGTAGTATATAGTGTAGTATAGTGTAGTGTGGTATAGTTTAGTGTGTAGTATATAGTGTAGTGTAGTATAGTGTAGTGTGGTATAGTTTAGTGTGTAGTATATAGTGTAGTGTAGTGTAGTATAGTGTGGTATAGTTTAGTGTGTAGTATATAGTGTAGTGTGGTATAGTTTAGTGTGTAGTATATAGTGTAGTGTAGTGTAGTATAGTGTGGTATAGTTTAGTGCGTAGTATATAGTGTAGTGTGGTATAGTATAGTGTGGTATAGTTTAGTGCGTAGTATATAGTGTAGTGTAGTATAGTATAGTGTGGTATAGTTTAGTGTGTAGTATATAGAGTAGTGTATATCTTGCTGTAATATAGTTTAGTGCAGTATAGTATAGTGTAATGTAGTATATTATACAGCAGTTAGTTCCGGCCACGCAAGCTGATTGGTTGAGTAGCATTCTAAGCTCTTTTTGCCATAACAGTGTGGTTTTTCACGAACACTGTATCACTCCGCCGAGACGCCGTTGCTAAGTGACAGCATTGGCAGCTGTAGGAGACGCTCAAGATATTTGAACGTTTTTACTTCTTACTTTGCCACAAACAGAAAATGAATACTTTTAAGATCACATTTGACCGACAGCCGATTTGGTCCGACTCACCAAACGTGTAGTCTGATCTTCAGAGTCTGACCAAATCAGACTGAGCCATAAAACTGTTGCAATATCAAGTTCAGCTCAGTTTTTGCCAGATCAGTATTAATGTTGTTTTGTTCCAGCCAGTCTGTAAAGCATCTTACAGCCCATTTAGTTTGGCGAATGGTGTTGGGTTCATTTCTGGCTGATTCCAGGTTGTTCAGCTGTTCTTCTGTCTCAGCTGCCGACTGAAAAGCTGCTCAGTGGTGATGACAGTTTGGGAATTTAGTGTAAGGAGATGGAGAACGAACTGCCGGCTGTGCAGTGAGTGGGCGGAGCTCGTTACTCTGAAGTAGCATCAAGCTGCTCGTTAAGGAACTATAATTTGGTGAAGGAACTGCGAACATTAAAACATATTAAACGCCGCGTTCACGGCCCAGTTTATTAATTTATTACTGTATTTATTTAACTGTTGTATTAAAGCAATAGAACACTCGAGGAGTGTGATCACCAATAACATCACGGCTGTGATGATCTACGGCGACCGAATCACAGCTGTGATGTTATTCCGCGATAACACTCCCTCTGTGTTCTACTGCTTAAGTGTATTGCATAGTGTAATATAGTGTAGTATAATGTAATATAGTAAAGTGAAGTATAGTATACTGTATAGCAGGGGTGCCCATACTTTTGTGGCATGAGATCTACTTTTTCCAGTGGACAGATCATTGTGATGTACCTTTTCAAAAAAGCCTGGCTATAAGTATAGTATAGTGTAGTATAGTATAGTATAGTATAATGTAGGATGGCGTATTGTATAGTGTAATGTAGCATAGTATAATGTAGTATAGTAAAGTATAATATAATATAGTGTGTAGTGTACTATATTGTGGTATAGTGTAATATACGTATAGTATAGTGTACTCTAGTATAGTGCTTTCTGTGGAAACGTGTTCCTCTGGTACTTGAACAAAAAACTATATAGTATTGCATAATATTGAGAAACTTTCTCATAATTATGTCTTACCATCTCATAGCTATGACTCAAGGTCTCATAATTATGACCTACAATCTCAGTACCTTATTTTTCATAACTATGACATGCTAAGTCATTATTATAAGATCCTACGTTATGAGATAGTAAGTTGTGGTTATGAGTTTCCCCAGTTAAAGGAGAGACAGCCTCTCACAGAGAGTCAAACCCAAACACGCTCTGACTGGAGACCCTCCGAATTTAATGAGAATCAGAATTAGAGTCACGTTCGTCCATGTTTAAACAAACAAACCTACACAGGCTCTGAGAATCCTGTACACAAACATGTTCTGATTGAGCAGCGATGCTGCAGTGAGGGAGTCATTAGATTCATTTCATTAGATTCAGTCTCCACATCGGACGACTGGAACCCCAAACACCTCCACCTCACACAGACTCAGAGTTCCCTCTCGGGGCAGAGACACGGTCACGTAGCTGCCCTCCAGCAGAGCACTGCAGTTAAAGTACTCGGTCTGTCCAGCAGGGATGGAGGACACAGTGGCACAGCTGGAGAACCAGAGGAACAGAGAGAAGCAGAGACAGCAGACGGGTGAGTATAAACACAGACCTCAGCATCTTCCTGAACACCAGAGCTCACAGAGCTGATGTTGGCAGTCAGCTTTATGATCCAGAATAAGATCCGACAAGCCAAGTGAGCCAGAGTGGGTGGAGGAGAACATTCTAGAACCATAACTGGAGGAGAACAGTCTAAAATAGTATGAACATGCGAGAACATTCTAGAACCATAACTGGAGGAGAACAGTCTAAAATAGTATGAACATGCGAGAACATTCTAGAACCATAACTGGAGGAGAACAGTCTAAAATAGTATGAACATGCTAGAACAGTGAATGGAGGAGAACATGAATTGTTGCGAGGTGGTGATTGTTGGGTTAAAGAGCTGATACCCCACAGTTTCCTTGATTTTATATTTTTTATATTGTGTGTAACAAAAACATTTGTAATTCATTTTTGTTTACCAATATCTCTTAGAATCAAACAGCTGTTTTTGTTACTGTGTCTTTAAAGCTGATATATGTTAATGAGCTCTGTTCTGATTGTCTTTTATTATGCCTCATCTTATAATTCAGCATGAATGGGCGGGGCTAAACTGCTGTAGGCTGAATGGGTGGGGCTAAACTGCTGTAGCTGAATGAGAGGCCAGATTATTTTTATTTTATTGTATTTTTATATTCTTTCTCTTTTTAACCTCAGTTTTCTGTTTCTTTTCTATGCTTTTATTTGCCTTCTTCATTATGAAGCACTTTGAGTTGCATTTTAACATATGAAAGGTGCCACAAGATGAAGTTTATTATTGTTATCATCATAAAAACACCAGGAAAATTCTGTTTTCTGTGATACTGGCCCTTTAAATGATGAGAGATACTGAACTGTTCTACTTACAGTGGATTATCTTTCCCATTGTTCTTTACGGAATCACCGATCCGGATCTCGGCACCGTCCAGGTGTTCCGAACAGCAGTCCCCTCGGTTGGTTAGGGCCACAGAGAATATCATGGATTTGTGATGCAGGTTCACCCTCCACCAGGGGGCGCTCTCATTTCCAGTCTGCATGCAGGAGCCCTTCTTCAGGTGAGAGTTTCGGTTCCCGTCGATGGCGTTTTGGGCGAGACCGAAGGCAGCCAGTGTGCTGGAGCTGTGCAGGCTGGACTGAGTGGCGGTTCCTCGGAGAGCGAGGTTGTGCAGCTCGGTCTGATCTGAGGAGGAAGGAGGAGGCGGAGCTTCCTTAACATCTCAACTCTGTATCGGATCTGAACAGCGTAAAGATCAGCGTTTCCTTCAGAGGAGAGCGGTCGGGGTTAGTCTAACACACTGATACAGCTGAGACCCCCAGTGTAAACAGTCAGAACTACATTAAATATCCCCCCATGTACTTTCAACACAGGTCATTTTAACTCTTTTTACCTGCTGTTGTACTTCGTAGTCAAAAATATATTTCCCACATTATACACTCTTTATATTCACTGATCATATTGATTCGATGTATATATTTGAATTTATTTAGATACAGTTAACCCTGCCTATGAAAAAATGAGTTCCAATCAAATACGTCTACAATTATTAAACAAATGTAATTGTAAAAGAACTCATGCAAATTATTCCCACAGCTTTGTTATTGATCAGTTTCATCTTTGCGGAATCTGTAGCATCAAAATTAGTTTAACAATCTGAAAAAAACACTTGATTTGCAGTTAATTAACCAAAACTATTATCAATATATGACATTTTTTAATGTCATATTTAATTCATTTCACATTTTATTCTATGCAGCGGTTGTAATTTTAACACTATAAAGTTTGGTCAGTAGGGGGCGCAGTGGACTCAATGCTCCACCTCAAACTCTGCCTATGAGCACAGCTATTGGCTCACAAGACACAACACGTTTTATTGGCTCCTTACTGAAACATTTGCCTGAATTAGGGCGTGTGCCATGTAAATGATATGTAAATGAGGGGCTGGAAGGCTGGTACTTGATTTCACGCACTGAAGCCGATTGCCCTCAAATCTCCACTCGTTTCCACGCCACATGGACATTTTAAGAATCAGACGCAGAGCAGTTTGTTCATCATCGAGTTTTAGTTTTAGTCGTAGACTGAGCTGCACTCACCGTGAAGATGGAAGGACTCGGGGCTGAATTCTTCATCTGTAATGAAATCCATTATTGAGAGTTACTATATTTCTATTTTTATAAAATTTTCTCATTTTCTCTTCCTCCTCTTCTCTCAGACTCACCTGCGAACACCTTCACCTCACACAGAGTGAGTATCTTGTTCTCTCCTGGCAAGAAAATATTAACATACTGTCCCTCTGTGGCTCTGAACCTGTAGGCCTTTGTGACATCAGAGCCAAGAGGGCCGATAACAGCGACTCTGCAGATGAGAATAAAACAGTGTTAGAGATGAGAATCAATTAACCAGCAGAACACGCAGAGAACCTCAAACACTGAGGGGCTTCTTCACGCGTACGTCTGTTAAGAGTTTGGGGTTTTTTTTGGGGATATTTTATCTATTTTGTTTGGTTCATTGGCTCAAGTGAACCAAACATGTGAGACTGAATTTAACTTTAATTTAGCTCAAATTTAGCTCGGCTCTCATTACAACAGAAAACATGATTTAATATTTAACGTTCACTCTATAAAATCCACATTCCTCACATACAGTCTTGCTATAAGGGCCATTCTACCAAATTAGTTCACACTGCGCTCCCACAGTAAACAAACTAAATAAATAAATAAAATAATTAACAACAGTGAAGTATTCAGATCTTAGATATTAACAGTGATTATGTTCTGATCTATTTAAACTCAAGGCATTAATAGAGATATTAATAAGCTAAATATATACAAAATCATCATTCTTAGGGAGGTTTATATTGGGAGGAGTCTGTCCCAAATCCTAACCCTTAAATTTACACTTGGGGAAATTTTTAAAGGTCTTTTTAATTTCTTTTAAAAAGATTTAGATTCATTATGAGTTTAATTTTCAAATTTAAAAATCATTATTTTAAAAAATCTCATGTTTTCATGAGCTGTTCAAAGCTGTGTTTGCTGGTCTGTACTGGCTGAGGTTTTGAGCTCAAAATGAGCTAAACTTGAAACTCACTGAAACAGTCACTACTGAAACAGTCATTACTAGTCACTACTGACACAGTCACTACTGACAAAGTCACTACTGAAACAGACACTACTGACACAGTCATTACTGAAACAGTCACTACTGACACAGTCACTACTGACACAGTCACTACTGAAACAGACACTACTGACAGTCATTACTGAAACAGTCACTACTGACACAGTCACTACTGACACAGTCACTACTGAAACAGACACTACTGAAACAGTCGCTACTGACACAGTCGCTACTGACACAGTCACTACTGAAACAGACACTACTGACACAGTCACTACTGAGACAGACACTACTGAAACAGTCGCTACTGACACAGTCGCTACTGACACAGTCACTACTGACACAGTCACTACTGAAACAGACACTACTGAAACAGTCACTACTGACACAGTCACTACTGACACAGTCACTACTGAAACAGACACTACTGACACAGTCACTACTGAAACAGACACTACTGAAACAGTCACTACTGAAACAGACACTACTGACACAGTCACTACTGAAACAGACACTACTGAAACAGTCATTACTGAAACAGTCACTACTGACACAGTCACTACTGACACAGTCACTACTGAAACAGACACTACTGAAACAGTCATTACTGAAACAGTCACTACTGAAACATTTGGTAAAGTTTGGTAGAGTTATGATTGTTTTGGAATGTTCAGTCATTAGTTTTAATAAAATAATCAGAATTAAGGTTTAGAGTCACTCAGAGCAAAAAGGTTTTAGTCTAAAGTCTAAGATCAGTTAAAAGTCCTGAATCTGTTTCAGCTCTGACTTTAAACCAGTTCAGTAGAATCATCTATATATGTTTTATCTACTCTGTATTAAAATAAAGAAACACAAAATAAAGAAACGCAATCAAAGCAATAATAATAAACCTTATTCTGCATCTTTATGACTGAACGTTTTGTCAGTGTGAATTTATTCAATCAGGTTGTATTTTTAAATGTTTGGCCTGAAATTGTTCCACAGTCTAATTTGCTACAGTTATTTTTGCTCGTCTGCCGTCATTAGCAGCTCATTCTGCAAGAACAATATGCGGTTCTATGAGGGAACAATAGTGGACAGTACAGCTCTGACATGCTGCTAGAAGAAAAGTAAAGCAGGCCCTGGTGTTAAATTCGCACGTTTTACTGCAGATCATCAGAAAAATACACAGCAAACTGGACTCGGGGTCACTTGGAAGCGAACAGAGATCTGCTACTGTTAGTGGATCACGGTTCTGCTGTTTAGTGCTCACTCGAGTACGAGTGTAGCGTTCACACCTGTCAGAACAAACCGGATTACAGACCGGATTACAGAAAGTAATCCACACTAAACCAGGCAGGAGAGTCTCAGAGGAGAACAGTATGAAAGTCTCTCACAGTTTGTTGTCGTTGCCGTTGTTCTTGAGGCTGTTGCCGATCCGAATCTGAGCTCCGTTGATCCGGTGTCCACAGCAGTCTCCGCGGTTGGTGATGGTCACTGAGGTCACGTTGCAGACGCCCGGCAGCTCCACCCTCCACCAGGGGTCTGCTTCATATTTAGTGTGAGTGCAGGAGCCCCTCCTGTAGTCTGTGTTATTGTTTCCGTCCACAGCGTTCTGAGCGTCTCCCAGATGTTCTTGAGTCGACGACTGCACAGCTTTGGCTCCAGCAGCAATGTTCTCTGTTCAAGATGATGAGCAAACATGAGGCCTCATAAAGCTCAGATGGGTATCGGCTTCTAATCAACTGACAATCAGTGATTAATAGTTTTTGTCTCAGGTCAGTGTTTCCTGGTCCAGTCATTGTTTTTGCTCCCAGCTCACCTGTACCAGGTGCTCAGTGTTGCTGATTGCTTGGTTCAGGTGTGTTAGGAGCTGGAGAACCTGGGATTATTTCTACGGCTTAGTTTATAGCATGGAAATAACATAACCTGGGATGACTTCTACAGTTCCTTTAACAGCGTGGGATTATTATAATCTGGGGTTATTTTCTATGGTTGGTTTTATCGCTCAGGATTAATATAACCTGAAATTATTTCTACAGTTTGTTTAATAGCACAGAATTATTATAATCCAGGGTTATTTCTACAGTTTGTTGACCAGCGCAGGATTAATATAATCTAGTATTATTTCAACAGTTTGTTTACCAGCATGAGATTAATATAACCTGGGATTATTTCTGGTTTGTTTGACAGCACAGGATTAATATAATCTGGGGTTATTTCTACAGTTTGTTATCGCACAACATTAATATAACCTGGGATTATTTCTATGATTTTTTAGCACTGGATCAGTTGCTGTTATTAATTTAATTTAATAGCAGATAAAACGTTCTGTAATCTCTCTGTAAAAATGGCTGATGTGGAGGATTCAGACAGGACTAAATCTGACCATAACACTGACCATAGATGACATCACCCACCTCCACAGGTAAAGCTAATCCCGTCTGAATTGCAGTTTAGATTATTAGATGAACTTCACTCACCAGGAGGAAGAACAGACAGAGGCCTGAGCTCATCTGTAATGAAAGCAGTTTCTGAGTTATTATCTTTCTGTCTTTATTCTCTCTTTATTTGGGTCACCTGCTCTGTCTCACCTGCGAACACCTCCACCTCACACAGAGTCAGGATTTTACCACTTCCAGGTAAAAGGATGTTGACGAACTGCCCCTCAGCGGCGCTGAAGCTGAATGTACTCGTGATTCCAGTTTGTAGAGAGTCAATAACGGCGACTCTGTAAACAGAGAACAGACCATAAAACCTCTCAGTATTGATTAATGATTAACTAATTAACTGATTCACTCTGCAGTAATCTGGTGTAATTGTTTTGCTGCTCTGGTTGTTATTGTGCTGTTATTTTCAGACTCTGGGCTTCTCAGATGTCATTATCTGAAATGTTATCAATACTAACAGAATTTTAATATCTTTATGAATTTGGCTAATTTTTGATCAACAAAATTTACTTGGCACCTGCAAAATTTTGTAAATTTTCTTATACAGATCTTGAAAACAAGTGTCCTCTCATAGCTCAGATAACACCTCAGATGCCTTCTCAGAATCTGTTAGTCTGCAGTGTCTGTGAGCTGAGAGTGTTAGAGTATGGATGGTGGTTCATGTTAGCTTAATACTGAGTAAAAATAAATGATTGGCATAAATAAAGAAACGATCAGCATGTATTTATTGATTTTCTGTCCTGTTTGATTCACTATGAGTGCTAAAACTGATACACAGCAAGACAGTCTTTATTTTTGATATCAGACTGAGCTGCATGTTTACTGTCCTGAGTCCTGATGTGTGAATCATGCTGCCCTTTTAATCCTAATATGAAAGTAGTGAGTGGGTTTTGTGTGATTTTGGAGCTGGATGTCTGGCTGGTGGCTGGTCACAGGTAGATGTGGTCACTCTGGTTAGTGAGGGCAGGTTCTGCCGAGTGCTGTGATGTTTGAATCTTTCTGCTATTTTAAACCTTTGTTTTATTATGAAGGCTAAAGTGCTAATATCAGGATTTTGGATGGCTTTTTGAGTCAGATTACACACTGATGCTGAAGTCACAGCTCAATGACGTCACGCTGGTAGTGAGGAGCCTCTTCGTAGGCTCATAACTCCGGATGTGAGTCTCGTATGATCTCGTGATAAGATGGAATGGAAAGGGCGACTCTACAGATTCAGGAAGTGTTTGAACTGGATTTCTGTGCTGGACCATCACAAAGATACAGGCACAGATATAGAAACAGAGACATTTGACTCTTTGTCTCTCACAGTTTGTTGTCGTTGCCGTTGTTCTTGGGGCTGTTGCCGATCCGAATCTGAGCTCCGTCGATCCGGTGTCCACAGCAGTCTCCGCGGTTGGTGATGGTCACTGAGGTCACATTGTAGACGGCGGGCAGCTCCACCCTCCACCAGGGGTCTCTCTCATAGTTGGTGTGAGTGCAGGAGCCCCTCCTGTAGTCTGTATTTCTGTTACCATCTACAGCGTTCTGAGCGCCTCCTACGTGACTGTATGTAGACGACTGCACTGCTTTGGCTCCGGCTGCGAGGTTCTCTGTTCAACACAGTGAGCGAATATAAGACCTCTGAAGATGCAGGTACACAGAATCACATGTTTGTTCAGGTGTGTCTACCTGTGGAGGCGGAGAGTCCCGACACAGACAGGAGCGACAGCAGCAACAGCACACGCAGCATCATCTCAGCGTCTGAGATCAGAGCAACGTTAGATTAATGTGTATTTATGGTTATTTATTCCAAAATGGTCGTGTTCACTTTCCCACATCAGAATATGTTAAAATATCTTGATGTGAAAATTTTACATACTGCAAAAAAAAATTATATCTGAGCACGTGAAAACATCTTCAGTCCAGCCAATATATCTAATATTTCTCATTATGAGGTTTCTGTAAGAATATTATAAGATGATTTAACTTATTTCTAGACATTTTTGCTTATTTTGGGTAACTTTATCTAGAATGTCTTATTCCATTAGCAGATCATTTCACATGTTTTGAACATTATTTCTCTAGATAAGTAAAATTATCTGCATTATTTCTTGAAATAAGTGATCTACCACTTTCAGATTGGCCGATTGATTTAATTTCTTAGAGAATAATACAGATATTTTTTTTTATTTCAGGAAAATTATCTTGAATTGTTTTCCAAACAGAATAAGACATTTTCATAAGACAAAATTCTAAAGTAAAAATGTGTAGAAATAAGCAAAATAATCTTATAATATTCTCACAACAGTCTCATAATGAGAAATATTAGATATGTTATTTACATTTAAAATGTTTTTGAAATTCTTGCATGTTTAAAGAAGCCCACAAATAAACGAATGTGTCTGTTATAAATGTACGATTTAGGCCGTCAGTAGTGTTTATACAAACAAACAAACATGATTCAGTGCCTGTAGTTTACAGGCTGTAGTTCAGACTGTGTTAATCAGATACATGTTACATTAGTGATTTAGTAAACTACACGTTTTTGATGATTAACCGAGTAATTAGAACCTTTTAAAAAGGACGGGAATAAGAACAGAATTAAAACTGCAAAATGTTTCTGAATTAGACTCAAACATTGAAAAGACTTTAAAAATGACTTCAATAAACAGACAAAAACACTGTACTCTAATAAATAAAATGTTCTTTGAGTGATAGTGTATAAAAACACCTTTTAAAAAGAGATTTGGGAGTGTGGAGAACCTTTTATAGGTTTACAGGACCTTCACTTGTTCTACCCATTTAAGGGTTCTTCCTAGAACTTTTACATTATGTGGAGTTTTTTTAACCTTTCAAAGGTTCTTCAACTCATTTGCGAAATGGTTGACCAAAGAAACCTCCACTGAGTGTTTTATAGGGAACCAAAAGTGGTTCTTCTACGGCATCGCTCAGAGAACCCTTTTTGGCACCTGTATTTATAAGAGTGTAGTTACTATATTAGCATAAGTGACAATTTAACATTTTTAATCAAGATGTTAAAGCCCTGTTTCTAATGAAGATCTGTGATATTTGGGGGTCCAAGCATATTTTTGGTAAGTGAAGCTGAACAGTAAGCGAGTATGTTCGAGCATGTTCAAAATAAACTGGACAGTTACAGATTGTCCACTCAGTTCTGATTACGGTCTTTAACCCCTTAAATGGAACAGAACAGCTCGGCCAGTTTCCACTGAGGTCCCTGTAGTTACTGAATAATAAGTCTCGGTATGTAATAAACCCGGGATTTTAAGGGGTTTAACAGCACAAGCTTAGCCGCCAGTCACCACTGTGTCGGTCAGGAATCTGAACAGGTGCAGAGATTCTTACCTGTGTCTGTCCAGCAGAGCTGTGACTCCAGTTTTAGATCTCTGCTGTGATGTCTCTCGTAGTGGACGCTCTGTCTGTTTGGTCAGAGAGAATGGACTTCAACCCATCTGTCAACATCATATAAGTGCCGATCAGAAAAAAAGCAAGGAGATTGAATTATTGAAGATTTTTTTTCAAATGTTCTAAAAAAGCTGGAGCAGTGTGTGAAATGCTAATAAAACCAGAAAGCAGTGATTAAAAATTCTGTTTGATCTGTACTAAATTAAAGAAACAATTAGAAAATATGGTTCTTCAAAAGTTCTTTATTAAAATAAATGGTTCTATATAGAGCCAGGAACAATCAAAGAAACCTTTTCTTAAAGGGTTCTTTGCTCTGTGAAAGAGTTCTTCAGCTTGATGAAGAATGTGTTGTAGATGGTTCTATATAGAACCTTTTTGAAAAAGGCTTTGTATAGCACCAAAATGGTTCTGCTATTGTTACAAGCTTGATATCAAAATACTACCAGAACCCTTTTGGATGTTATATAAAACACTTTTCAAAAAAGTTCAATTGTACCATGCAAAGAACCCTATAATCATGCAATGGGTTCTTAGAACCATTTTCTTTACTAAAGGACTCTTAAAGAACCATCTTTTCTAAGTGTGTACTCTTTTCAATTTAATACAGATCAAAGAGAATTTTTAATCAATTTTTAATCGCTGCTCTCTGATTACTCAGCCGAGCTGCTGAATGTTTCTTGGTGTGTCGTGTTGAAATAAACATGGACGTCCCTGAAAAAGACGGCATCTAAAAGGCAGCATATGTTGCTCAAAATGTGTTCATTGTTAATGGAGCTTTCACAGATGTGCAGGCTACCCACTAATACCCCCCATACATCATGACAGATGCTGGATTTAGAACTTTATGCTGGTAAAAATCTGGATGGTCCTTTTCTCCTTTGGCCCGGAGAACACAATGTCCATTATTTCCTTAAATAATCTGAAAGGTCAGACCACAATATATGTTTCCACTGAGCATCAGTCTATTTCAGATGAGCCCAGAGAAGTCGGCGGCGTTTCTGGACATTGTTGATATGTGGCTTCCACTGTGCAGAGTCTTAATCTGCATTTGTGGATGCAGCACTGATGGTGTTTATTGATAGCAGATTGTCAAAGTATCCCGGAGCTCATGTGGTGATATCATCACAAAAACATGCTGGTTTTTAACGCGGTGCTGTCTGATGGGTCAAAGGTCATTCAGCTGTGGTTTGCGGACTTTTCCTTTACACACAGAGATGTTTACCAATAGCATGAAGAGTTAACAACTGCCCTGCCACTGACCTTAACATTGTGTGACCTCGTTATAAATGATGTCATTTATGCCATTAGGAAGAACCGAACTGAGGACAGTCAACAGCAAGTTTAGTAAACAGTGTAGGTGGAGGTGAGTAGGAGTTTTATCTAGCTGTTAATATTCACCGGGTTACAGTAAATGACCAGTTCATCTGAAGGGATGACCTCAGGGAGGCTTTTATTTTGGTGTAGACGGTGTTTTGGTGGTGGTAGTGGACTGACTGAGGGGTTTTTGTGAGTGTAAATAACTTACAAGTCCTCTACAGAGACACTTCTTAACACTTTAATTATAATAATAATAATTATCTGAATTTAACACATCAGAAAAAAAATAAAACATAAAATGTGGCCTGTGCAAAAGTAATGGCACATTTAGCAGTTTCTGTTAAACTCAG